AAAAAAAAAAGACTAAAGAATGTAATGAATCTGGCCAATAACATAATTAAGTTAAAGTATTGAGTGTAGAAGTCACCTCTCAAAATTAATTGGATTAATCAGCATATTGTGTATTTCATTTGATTACAAACTAATTAATTGACAGCCCTAATTATTAATCTATATAACATTTATTTACTGTAATATAATGGCAGTAGCATTAATCCATTCTCTGGTAAGAACATTTACAAAGAGTTGAATTGTTTTTGAAAGCAGAGAACACATTTAGAGAAAAGACATTTACATTTTTTTATCAAATATTTAAAAAAAATTAATAGTGGCCATGAAAATCTGAATCTTTAGATAAATTCTGAGTAAATATGATTTGAAGTGGACAGTTTGCACTGACTAATGCGTCTGATGCGGATCACTTCAGCGCGGGTAAAGCTTTATGCATCATATTTCTACATGTTTTCTCTTTATGGATCTTCTGAAATGTATTTTTACTCTCAGAACCATCTTGTTGTTCAGAGTAAAATAACGCCAAAAACTGTTCGGATAATAATGAGCAGATCGTCAAACATCACAACACTTTCTGGACTCTTCAAAAACTTTTTTTTCCCCCAAAGACTTTCTCTTAAAAAACGTTTCCCTCTTCAAAAACCTTTCTTTTTTCAAAAACTATTTTCTGCATAATTGGATAATAACGAGCTGATCATCAGAACAAAAATGTCACGAGTACTTTTCAAATCAAAATAAAATCATAAGGAGTAAAAGTAGATTTTTCAAGTTCGTGTATTTAGAGTAACGTTACACTGGAGTGCAAGAATCCGACAGTGATCATGTATTGATCTGAACGCTGATGAAAGTGAGAGTAATGATGTCATGGCTCCGTCTCCACGGTGACAGGCCTGAGCAAACGCTACAGCTGCTATAACATGGGTGTTAATCAGCATATTGTGTATTTCATTTGATTACAAACTAATTAATTGACAGCCCTAATTATTAATCTATATAACATTTATTTACTGTAATATAATGGCAGTAGCATTAATCCATTCTCTGGTAAGAACATTTACAAAGAGTTGAATTGTTTTTGAAAGCAGAGAACACATTTAGAGAAAAGACATTTACATTTTTTTATCAAATATTTAAAAAAAATTAATAGTGGCCATGAAAATCTGAATCTTTAGATAAATTCTGAGTAAATATGATTTGAAGTGGACAGTTTGCACTGACTAATGCGTCTGATGCGGATCACTTCAGCGCGGGTAAAGCTTTATGCATCATATTTCTACATGTTTTCTCTTTATGGATCTTCTGAAATGTATTTTTACTCTCAGAACCATCTTGTTGTTCAGAGTAAAATAACGCCAAAAACTGTTCGGATAATAATGAGCAGATCGTCAAACATCACAACACTTTCTGGACTCTTCAAAAACTTTTTTTTCCCCCAAAGACTTTCTCTTAAAAAAACGTTTCCCTCTTCAAAAACCTTTCTTTTTTCAAAAACTATTTTCTGCATAATTGGATAATAACGAGCGGATCATCAGAACAAAAATGTCACGAGTACTTTTCAAATCAAAATAAAATCATAAGGAGTAAAAGTAGATTTTTCAAGTTTGTGTATTCAGTGTAACGTTACACTGGAGTGCAAGAATCCGACAGTGATCATGTATTGATCTGAACGCTGATGAAAGTGAGAGTAATGATGTCATGGCTCCGTCTCCACGGTGACAGGCCTGAGCAAACGCTACAGCTGCTATAACATGGGTGATCAGGGCATCAGTGTGGGCTGCTGGGATACGTACCGCCACGACATCGACTGCCAGTGGGTGGACATCACCGACGTGCGGCCTGGAGACTACATCTTCCAGGTCAGAGGTCACGCTAAAACCCTGAGCCTGACAGACACTGAAACCTCTTCATTTCAATGAGATGCATGTACTATATTTTAGTTCAGCAAAGTTTTTTTATTTGATATTTTGTATTTTCAGGGGATTTTATGGTAAAAAATTATATTCATGGATCTCTCTCTGCCTTTCTCTCTCTCTGAAGAGAAACTGTGCCTCTGGTTGTTTTCTGCTTGCATTAGCGTGCAGTACAGACCTCGGCCAGCAGGCGCCGCTCTCAGGAAGCAGGACATATAACAACATTACTGTAATCAGAGATTTTTCTCTCATGTTGAAGATGAGAAATTCAGAGAGAAGAAATCTTATCTGATTAACATGAATAAATCTCACCCTCATATTCATACAGATATTATGGGATATGACTGATGTTTAGAAATATTAACGTATATCCCTATAAAAATCCTTTTGTGTGTGTCTCTCTCTCTGTGTGTGTGTGTCTGTCTCTGTGTTTGTGTCTGTGTGTGAGTCTCTGTGTGTGTGTGTCTCTCTGTGTGTGTGTTGTGTGTCTCTGTGTGTGTGTGTGTGTGTGTGTGTTGTGTGTCTCTGTGTGTGTGTGTTGTGTGTGTGTCCGCAGGTGGAGGTCAATCCGTCGCTGGATATGGCTGAGTCAGACTTCCAGAATAACGTGATGCGCTGCCGCTGCCGCTACGACGGAGCACGCGTGTTTCTGTACGGCTGCCACGCCGCCCAGACTCACCTAACCCTAAACTAACCCTAAACTAACCCTAACCCTAACCAGCTCAGCTTCAGTGGTCTGAAACCTCAGCTCGTCATCAGACCCGCTGCAGATCCCCAGAACACAGCGTTACACCACACGCTCGACTTCTGCTTCAAACCTACTCTGCACAAAACACACAAATTAAGAAATAGAAACAATAGTAACTGCATGAGAATTATAAAAACGTTTGTGCTTTAGATGCCTGCCATTTGTTCGAAATATATCATACAAATAAATAATGCGTAAAATTAAAGTAACAAAAATATTTGTTAAGCTGTAAATAAAATATGATTAGAATATGTTTTACGAGACTTTATTTCTAGGGGACCTGAAATATTACAGAAACATGAAAATACATTTTTAAAAATGTAAAACGTTTAGTACATTTGACACCCGTCATAAAACCTTTAATAAAAATAGATCATGCTTAAAATTAAAATATTTGTTTTATTTCATTCACAAATAAATCAAAGATTATTGTAATACTTTTTAAAAATAAAATACTATTTTAGTGTTTCTTCTTCAAAATGTCATGTTTAATTCAAAGTTACGCGCTGTTTCTTTGTGAAACTTAAAACGCTGCACATTTTCTAAATTCTATTTTAGTTTATTTATTAGTATTCTCATTTATTAGCTATTTATTTTATATTTTTGCACTGGATTACTGAAACTTAGTTTTGTTTTTATGTGAAGCGTAAGAATGCGCACTAGAAATTTCTAAGAGAAATTATTAAAGTAATTGTTTTACTTTTTTTTTGTTACAATAAATAAAGTAATTAAGAATACATTTCAAATCTTTGAAAAAGATCTTTGTTTGAAGCTGTAAATAAACCTCCAGAGATTATTGGAAAACACTACTTTGGTTTTTATACTTAAAAATCTCACGTTTATTGAAGAGTTGTTTTCTGTGTTTCAGGTGACGCTTACAGCGCGGAGGCAGAGGACCTGTTTGAACACCAGCGTCAGATCTCAAACAACTTCCTGTGAAGCGCTGCAGGACTGACGCCGCGTCACCGCTCTCGATGGGCGGAGTCTGCGTGTGGGGGCGGGGTTAGTGTGATGATTGACAGTTCGGCCAGTATTGATGAAGCAGACGATCAGAAGAACTGCCTGCCGTTATAATGAAGGGGTTTCATCTTGATGAGGCTCATATACCTATTGATTCATCTTCATCAGCCCTGTGAGATTCAGAGGAAAACATTTCAAAAACATGAATTTACAACACGGATTTGCAGTAAACGTTCTTTCACCGGTGTCTTTCTTCCAGCTTCTTGTGCTCGTCATCCTCATATTCGATTTCTCACAATGTTGCTGTTGTTTTAAGTGTGGTTTAGTTTGCTCTGTTGGAGAGAAAACATGTTTATTCCCTGTTTTTTATGTTAAAATCTCTCTGTAGGCCAGCGGTTCTCAAGCAGGGGGACTTAAAAGTACTTCAATTACTTTTTTTATATATTTGTAACATTTTCTTTGAATGATATTCAAATTAAATTAAAAAGCTGATTTTTTTTTGTTTGAAAAATTAAAATAAATTTAACTCAAAATGCTAAAAATTACTTTCAAATATTTTCTCTCTCAAAAAAAAAAAAAATGTAAATGTAAATTAAAATGTTTAAAAAACTTTTTTTTCCAAATATTTCCCCCCCTTCATTAATTCTTTTATTGAAGAAGAAAGTTTTTGAATGACAAAATGAATTATAGTTAATTAAATATATTGATACCCCAATTTCTGTTAATGAACATGTTGAAAACAAGCTGCTTTGTCGTAACTATTGTTGAACATTGGGTTTGAAGAAGGACTTTTTACTCCGACAGCTTGAGAACCGCGTCTGTAGACGATTTAAAGCCTTACAGCCTTCGTTTCTGATGTGTATTTCTCTGGCCACTGGTGCTGATTTTAGTGGCTCATTTAGTCTTGAATATCATTATGCATTATTATAATTATTCCTGGCTCGAACGGAGCAGCAGAATCTGTGTTATAAAGGTTTCTTCACGGTTGTATCGGCATGCACGGGTTTGTTGGACCTCAGTTTTTCTCTCTGTGAAGAGAAACAGTTTTACAGCTTGTGCTTCAATACTTGAAAAATAAACGTCTCGTGTCAAACTGAAGAAATCTGATATCCCACACTGTATGAACCCAGAGATTCATGAGCTGACAGCTATTATACTTCACATAAAACCATTCATACGCATAGAAATGTCATAATTCTTGTCACCAGTGTCAATATCAGAAACTAATACTAGCCTAAAAAAAACTAAACTCTGAAGTAAAGATTAAATAAGAATCCGAGTAGAACAAAAAAACAGGAAATGCTACATATAAAGTAATCAAATGTATAGAAACTGCATATTCTTCACAGCGTAAATTAAATCTACATTTCTCTTTATTAAAGTTAGAAGAGTGATTGAGTCAAGAGCAGTGAGAGATTTTCTCTCTTGTTGTTTGATTAACATGAAGGACAGACAGCAGGAATATTACGCTGCTGTCACTTTAAGAGCTACCCGCATCCAGTATACTGTTACACGTGTTTTCATTCTCAGCGGCTTGTGTTCATTTAAGACTGAAATTACTGTGTTGACGAGGATACTTGCACACATACAAGTGTGTATTTAACCGTTTAAGGCCTATAAAGCAGCAAAAATAACTTCACGTGCACAAAATAACTCTTCCGCTCTTCCGCTGCTGATTGCGTTTCAAATGGCTTAAAATCACTTGTTTTTAAACAGCAATGCTTAAAAGCGTGTGCAAACGATACGTTTTCGTGACCACATAACACAGCAACGTCACGTGAGCGTGTAACCACGACAACAACAGTCGAAAGTCTCTACCGGTTAACCGTATATCGCCCGCCTCTACTAACACATCCAAAACATGCTCCATTTCTGAAAGAGATTTAGAAGTAAAGCACACTCACTGACTGACTGATCTCGGAATCGCTCCATCGGTTCATGATGACTCTGAAAGTGAATCGCTTCATTCGGAATGAATCTTTAAAACACTCAAGACACGGTCATCAGATGATTCCCCTGAACAGACAAATAAACAATCCACACGTGAACGTACAGTGATTCACTTTAATCAAATAGCAAAAATAAATTAAAGAAATATAAATGGAAAATTAATGAAACATTCCGGAATGATGAAGCTCAAGGCAGAAGACATGAAGACGGTATAAAACTAAACGTGTGTGTGTCTGTGTGTGTGTGAGTGAGTGCGTGGGTGAGCAAGAGAGTGTGTATGTGTGTGTGTTGCGCGAGTGAGTGTGTGTGTTGCACGAGTATGTTTGTGTATGTGGGTGGGTGTGCACAAGTGTGTGTGTGTGTGTGTGTGAGAGAGAGAGCGAGGGAGGGTATGTTGCACGAGTATGTTTGTGCATGCGGGCGGGTGTGCACGTGTGTGTGTGTGTGTGCGCACGCGTGAGAGAGTGTTGCACGAGTATGTTTGTGCATGTGGGCGGGCGTGTATGCGTGCATCTGTGAAGAGAGAGAGAGAGAGAGAGAGAGAGAGCGAGAGAGAGAGAGAGAGAGAGGGGCGCGCGTGTGTGT